AAGTAGGTGGGGCCCGGGGGACAAAATATATCCTATGACAGGCAAGTTCTGCCGTGGCTCTTACGAGGCACTACCGTGATGGCTCGGCTTAAAGGGGTAGTTGGCAGTGGTGACCTTGCCGGGGTGAAGGGAGTTGGGCGCAGACACAAAGCTCAGTTACTGAAGTCACCGTGCGAGGCAGGGACTCCGGCCTCTGCTGGAGCGAGCGGGGGACCCCGGTGGTGGTTGGGGGTGTTCCGCAGAGGCAAGGGGGGGAGGACGCAGAGCTGGGCTTCTTAAGGAGGGGGCGGGGATAATGGCCGTGGGGTCCTGGAAGTCACTCTAAATATGTGTAGAATTTGCATGTGTGAATGGTTTGATTTGGAAGGGGTCCATATTTGCTGCGAAGTCTTCCCCTCTCCCCGCCCCGACCCCCAAAAGGTAAAGGACTGCTTGGGTAGATAGGGAAGAGACCTTTCAATTAGGGTAGACCCGGCAATTTCCTAAAGGATTTAAAGTGGGCGGATCCCGCAGAAAGGGTAGAAATGGCCCTTTCAAGGTATTTCACTGTGAACGGAAACCTTTGTTATTTAATGCTTGATTTTACAATTCTGATGAACTTTTGCTTGAGCATGACTTGGTTTCCTACGCATCCTTGTTTCAGGAAGGCATGTTGAACGCTTGAAATCAAAATTGTGATGGGCAGGCCGGATGGTAGTAACCTTGTAGTAGAAAAGATTGCAGCGTTTCTCCAGGAGGATATTTCTTCATATGAACTGATTCATAGGAACTATTGTGAATTGTGCTGCAGTGGGAAAGTCTTATTTAATAAAACTATCTAAACCGAGACTTACTCTCTGTCTCGATTGTTTTGTCTTATGGCAAGTTTTTCATTGTTCAGTTTATCTATATTTTACTGCAAACCAGAGATAGCACATAGCACTTGGATTGTAGATTTGCTGCATTTTGCAGCAGGCCTGTATTAAATTTGTGAAGCAGTTATGCAAACTATGTGGGCGTCTGTGTATGTGTGTGTTTTTGCCACTATGGTTTCAACTCAAGTCATCATTGCCACACTTCATTACATGGCATTGTAGTTTGAAATTTTCTCCTAAGTGATGATTAGTTAGTAGGATATGGGTGCATACATCACCCCAGATCACTGAACTTTTCCTTAAAAACCAGTATTTGTAAAGATGTTGCTGTATAATAATGTATTGTGAATTTCACCTAGACTGTCATATAATTTTTAAGTTTTAACTTTTTACTTGGAAATAATTGCAAGCTCAGAAAAAAATGGCAGGAATAAAATTAATACAAGGAACATCCTTGTAATCTTTACTCAGATTCACCTGTGACCTGTTTATCCATTTACCCCCCATCACACACAAAACATTTGTCTCTGACCATTTAAGGGCAAGTTACATACATTCTGGTCCTTAACTACTACTTCAGCGTAGAAAACCATACATTCTACATTTTAGCTTACTTGGCTTGGAAATGAAGTTTTAGGAAAGAGTGGCTTCGTTTGCTTTTCAAAGAATAAGAATATGAGAAATAGGTCTAAGATAGTCATTAAATTGTTAAGATATAAACAATCCAGAAAGTGAGGTTGAGTGGCTTTCCTGTTTAGGTTCTAGAAGACATAGTTGGCCAAAAGATTGAGGTTTTTTCTTTGTGCCTACCTTTCTTTATACTCATATTATTCTTAGCTCCTTTTCTTTTATAAACATTGGGTACTGGGTATCTGATTGTTTATGTGTACACATCATAATAAAGAGAGGGAGACATGTAGATTTTGCAAAATTGAATTCTCTTGCTATGAGACTGCATGGTTTGAGACATGCACAGTATGATCCATCACTCACATGTATTTTTGTGCCTCTTGAGTACTCAAGGAAATATTAGATGAGTATCTAGAATCCATAATTATTTTTATTTCTGTGTTTATCATTGTTTGATTTTGAATAGCCCTACCAGGTTCTATGTAGGAGCCTTACCATTATGTTTTCTAGAGGTCAAGCCCTTGACTTTGTTATAGGAAAAATTGTAGGAAGACAAGTCTTCTATAATTTGGTGAAGAGAAGAGGACTTGGAGCCAGAGTGAATTGAGTTTTAATCCTAGCAATGTGACTATAATTATAATGTGATAATTATAATTATAATGTGATTATGGACCAGTAACCCAACCACCAGAAAAATGGAAATAACATCTACATCCCAAGGTGATGAGGATTAAATGAGTTAGTGTAAACATGGCAAAATATGGCACCTGACATATAAAACTGGTGTCTGGTAAATGTTAGTTTTCTTTTTTTTTTCTTAGTCTGTGCTTTGTGAGGTTTCCACTGGAGTAACTTGTGGAGTAAAACTTCTTTCCATAGATTTAGAATCTTTCCTGGGCTCTTAGAAGATATTAAAATGTATCCTGAGTTTTATTTTTCTTACATGAAGGCAGGTTTTTTGGGTACTTACTTTCAAAAAATACAATGAAAAACATACTAAAAAGCTTTTTAAAGGACCCCGTGAGTTACTTATTTATTTTTTTTAGAGTAAGAAACTTTGAATTGACACTTAGTTTTGTAGTAGTTTGTAATCTAAGAATGGGTATAGTAAATGTTTTTTGTTTTTGCTTTTCATTTTGTCACATAAGATTTTTTTTTTTTTTTTTTTTTTTTAAATCAGAGTCTCACTCTGTTTGCCCAGACTGGAGTGCAGTGGCACATTCACGGCCACCGCAGCCTCGACCTGCTGGGCTCGGGTGATCCTTCCACCTCAGCCTTCCAAGTAACTGGAAATACAGGAATATGCCATCACGCCGGGCCAATTTTTCTTGATTTATTGTAGAGATGAGGTCTCACCAAGTTGCCCAGGCTGGTCTTGGACTTGTGGGCTTAGGCAGTCCTCTCACTTTGGCCTCCCAAAGTGCTGGGATTATAGGTGTGAACCACCGCACCTGGCCCACATAAGACATTTAAGTGAGAATTATTTGTCAATTGTGGGATGGGTGCTGATATGAAATGGTTATAGATAATAATAACAGTGTTATTTTATAAGGCACTATTTAGTTATTGAGGCTTATAGAGATATAATTTTGTGTAGCTTTTAATTTATCAGATGGGCAAAATGTAATTCATAATAAAAGTGGGGATTATATCAGCAATACTTTGCAGATGCAGGATGGGACATTAGTTCTTCATGAGCAGCATGTTTTCCCCAGTAGTAGTGCCCTGTCTCCATAAACTGCCCTGCCTGTTTTCATTTAGTAACTCGGCATCTGGAACTGCATGTCCTAATGTGCCTGACCAGATCACTCTAGGGCATATGAATGTTTCTTTAAAACTTAGTTCTAATTGAAATGAATTGTAACTGGAAACTTTTGACAGGGGAGGTGGATTTTATGAAACCACTGGTAGTATAAAACTGTTCTGTGTTTTATTGCTATGACTTAATATTTTATCAGATTGTTTAACATGTAGGACAGAGCTGGGTGTAGTGGTATAAGCCTGTAATCCCAGCACGCTGGGAGGCCGAGGTGAGAGGGTTGCTTGAGCCCATGGGTTTGAGACAAACCTGAGCAATTTGGCGAGACCTCATCTCTTAAAAATAATGTAGGACTGTAGACTAGGAATGTCTTCAAAGTAGAAATGAAATCTATTTTTTTTTTTGAGTCGGGTGGTCTCACTTTATTCCCTAGGCTGGAGTGCAGTGATCATGGCTCACTGCAGCCTCAACCTCCTGTGCGCAGGTGTTCCTTCCACCTCATTCTCCTAAGTAGCTGAGACTACAGGTGTGTACCACCACACTGGCTAATGTTTTTTTTTTTTTTTTTTTGTAGAGACAGATCTCGCTATATTGCCCAGGCTGGTCTTGAACTCCTGGACTCAAACAATCCTCCTGCCATGGCCTTGCAAAGTGTTGGGAATACAGGCATGAGCCGCCATGCTTGGCTGAAATGAAGTCTCAAAGACATGCAATACTGTGGTCATTC